TAAAAACAGAAGGATCTGGAGCCAGATCTGGTCTTAGCCGTGCAATTATAGGCAAAAGACATTCCCTAAGTGTTCTTAGTTTTCCTCTGTACAACTGAAGGCAGCATCAGGCCATCTGCACATGTGTATACCTTGAAACACACTGACATTCCTCACAGAATTTCATAGCAACAGATGACACAGAATGTGAAAGACTTAGTAGTAAATAGTCAATAAGAACATGGCACTAATATTTAATTACATGCATTGTTATTTGTATTCAGAAATGTGCCAAACAAGCTCACTTTCTTTCACTTCCAGTAATGAAATAGGAACATCTTCACAAAAAGTGAGACAAAATAACACATTGCAAGATAAAGCATTATGGTTAGATAGTGCCAAATGTCTGGAGGACTAGAGAGCTGGGATGTGGCTGAGCACATGGGAAGCTCTGGGGTCCACTCCTAACATCACCAAAATAGCCCCCAAATTTAAAAAAGAGAAACAGGAAACAGATTTTTCAAACTACTTGTGGACTAAGTACCAATGATTTTACAGCTTTTATTTTCACTTGGCAAATTTCTTTCATGTGGTGAGTGTATGTGTGTGATGTATGACGTGTTGTGTGTGATACGCATTGTGTGATGTGTGTGATCTGGATGTTATTGGTGTGTGGTGTATACTGCGACGTGTTGTGTGTGTTTTGTGTGATGCATTTATGTGTGAGATGTGTTGTGTGCTATGTTAGATCTGCATAAAATGATATGCAGTTTGTGTATAGGTGGTTGCGTGTGATGTGTGTTACATGTGATCTGTATGTGATTTGCATGTGATGTGTGCAGTGTGATGTGTGTGGTGTGTGATATATGTTACATGTGATATATGTTGTGGGTGATCTGTGTGTGATGTGTAGGCAGTGTGTATATACTTGCATGTTGTGTGTGATTTGTGTGTGTGTGTGTGTGTGTGTGTGTGTGTGTAGGAAGCCCCTAAATTTGCACTTACCATCTTATTTAGAGCACGTCTATGAACTGTTTGCGCATCACAGGATTTTGTGCACATTACTTCTAATCCTTGTTACTCATCTAAGATCAGGCTGATGACCCATGTTTTATACTTTAGAGTCCAGAGTGGTAGCGTGTCCATGTTCAGGCTGATATGTACACTGGAGCCACATAATTAGGATCCAGATCTTGTCAATCAACTTTGGAGTAGATTCTCTTGCCACTGTCACCTGTATTTGGTGGCTCTAGCACTGGTGGCTGAGAACAAGGCTAATGGGCAGATTCACTGAGGCAGAACTGGCATTGTTAATACTGGATGGTTCATGCGTCCGGACACACTGACAATATATGTTTTTTTTTTCACAACTAAGAACATGTTCAACAGCCAGAAATTCTATACATAAACATAAGAATGGGCAATTATGCTAATTATAAATACATATAATCATACATGCTATCGAGTAAAGGTCTTATATTAGTAATCCACATGAATGTACACTTCATAAAATACCATGGAGGCTGGTGACCGCAAGGGAGTGGTGCGCTGTAAGAGATCTGCTACATTTTTTATTTGGTTTTATACTTCTTGGAAAAATGGAGAAAGATTTGCTCTTCAGACAAGATTTTGAGACAAAATATTAACATAATTTTCCTCCCCTTCTTTCCCCTTTCTTCTCCTTCCCCCTCTCCCCTCCCCTCTCTCCTCCTCTCTCCTTTTCTTTCCCCTACCCTTTCTTTCCTTCCTTATCCCTCCTCTCCTCTTCTCCTTTTCTCTTCCTTTTCTCTTTCTCTGTTGAGACAACGTCTCACTATGTAGCCTAGGCTGACCTTAAACTTGCAATCCTCCTACCTCAGCCTCCAGAGTGCTGGAATTAGAGGCATGCCATAGCACCCCTTTCACATGGTTATTAAAGGAATAATATTTCCTGTGGCTCCAACAAATGTAGACGTTTGGCCAAATGCCATCACAGCAGTTGCCTCTGAGAGTTGACCTGGGAATGGATGTGCTAAAGGAATGCTGATGGCTGACTTCTGCCATGGTGCACCGCCCTCCTGGACTAGCTTCTATGAGAAGGTCCCCTTGACAGGCGCCATGATGAACTGCACGTGGCCTGTCAAGCAATGTATGTTGTGGATGACAGCTCTGTGAAGATGAAGATTTATTTACTTTCCAAGAATCAATTTTTCATTTGTGCCCTGCAAGCTTATGAAGCTGCTTTGAGCTTGGATAACAAAACACACACAACAAACTTTAGGACACATGGACCTTTCTTGAACCTGAACCCTCCTTGGTTCTCCAAAGGCTGAACTCTCAGTTAGGCCATCTGATTCCACTGAATGAATGAATCCACATCTCAAAAAGAGGTGTGGTCAGTAATCAAGTTTTTTTAATTTTAGAAACAAACTTCAATGAATTAAAGATGAACTAATAAGTATACTCCCCACTTTGATTCTTGGCTTATTAACAACTTTCTTGTGATGCTTCATTTTACATAGTTCATGTAAGGGAAGTCAGAACAAAAGCATTTGTCAGTCTACTTGGTATTTGCATAATCAAGCAAATGTTCTCTCTTGTTGTTTCCTTCTAGTTCTATAGATTGTATTCTATAGATTGTAATTTCTGCCAATACAAACAGGCCCGCCAAGAATAAAAGTAACCAAAGCTCTCTTTTCAACAATGCTACAGTTTTGGCTTTAATCTTTCAAGAATGTTATTTGACAGTCTCTATCAATTAACGTTTTCATTGGCAGTAAGACCTTATCAGGAATTACTGCACATCTAACAGAGACAAATTGAAATATTTCAGGTCCTATTTGGGCATGAACGTGACTATGTAATATTATTTAAGAATTGTTGCATATTAAGCTGGGCATCAGTAGCTATTAAGGAGGCTGAGGTCTGAGGATCCAGGTTGGAAGCCAGCCCAGGCAGGAAAGCCCTTGAACCTTATTACTCCAATTAAGCACCAAAAAACCAAAACCAAAAAACCCCACAAAAAACAGAAGTGGAACTGTGGCTCAAGTGGTAGTGTTAGCCTTGAGGAAAAAGCTCAGGGACAGTGGACAAGTCCTGAGTTCAAGCCCTGGGGTCAGCATGCACACACCTTACTTTACACATTACTTCTTATTGATTTTGACATCTCTGGACTCAGAATCTGAATTTTTTTTTTTTTTGGTCCGGTCGTAGGGCCTGAACTCTGGGCCTGGGCGCTGTCCCTCAGCTCTTCAGCTCAAGGCTAGCACTCTACCACTTGAGCCACAGAGCCACTTCCCGCTTTTTTCTTTTTTCTTATGTGGTGCTGAGGAATCAAACCCAGGGCCTCATGCGTGCAAGGCAAGCGCTCTACCACCGAGTCACCTTCCCAGCCCCAGAATCTGAATTTTAATCATCAGAGAGGGATCCCCTTGAGCAGAAAACCTCTAGAATAGTATCTTCAAGTGCTCTTAAAAGTTGAAGTTTTAAATCATGCTACATAGTTGATTAAGAACTATTAAACAAGCTGACATTGGAAAATGAAATTCAAGTACACTAGGGTACCAGCAGGAAGTAAGTGACATACTCAAAGAATCACTTGTAGTTAATGTATTTGTGGACTTAACAATAGTCTCAAGGAAACCAGGACATTATAATGCAGTACCCCAAACACCCAGGGATGAAGTGCAGGAAGCTCTTACTACCCTGAGGCCTAGAGATGCAGGAAGACAGTGAGTGTATATATGGAGCTTAACAAGAGTTAAGGTACTAGGGGAGAGAGGTAGACTGCCATGAGTTATAGCTCTCTGCCCAAAGAGCCATGCACACCCAGCAGGGAACCCCAAACCCTGACCTGCCCTTTGCTCCTTGAACTCGTACTGGAGCTTCTTGTTGGCCAAATCCAAAACCAGGAGCCCAGTCAATGTGGTCCCTAGAAACCATTCCTCTTTAACACTCAAGGGAAGAAAGGGAAAAGTACTGGAAGGGTAGATGGAAATTATTCAAGCCAGCCTTTTACCACAATTACATAAGATTTCTGCATCCCCTTGCCATTATTCTACTCCTCTGAAGTTTTCTTCTAGGTGTTTATTAATTTGTTCTTGCATGTCTTTCTGTTGTTGAATCTGATGCCATCCTTACAACTTGGCACTTTTCATTCTTCTTTCATTATTTTTGCCAGTATTGGGGCTTGAATTCAAGGCCTTGAGTTCTAGCATAGTTTTTATTTTCATTCAAGGCAGGTGCTCTACCACTTGAATCACACCTCCACTTCTGTTTTTCTTACTGGTTAATTGGAGATAAGAGTCTCACAGACTTTCTTGCCTGGGCTGGCTTCTGACCATGATCCTAAGATCTTAGTCTCTTGAGTAGCTAGGATTACAAGTGTGAGTCACTGGGGCCAGGCTTACTGTATTTTTTTTGCTGGTCCTGGGGCTTGAAACTCAGGGCATGGGATGCTGTCCTGAGCTTCTTTGTGTACAAGGCTAGACTCCACCACTTGAACAACAGTGCCACTTCCAGCCTTTTCTGAGTAGTCTATTGGAGGTCAGAGTCTCACCAACTTTTCTGCTTCAGATGGCTTCTAACTACAATCCTCAGATCTCAGCCTCCTGAATAGCTAGGATTTACATGTGGGAACCATCATCACCTGGCCAGCCTTACATTTTATTTGAATGGAAACAATTGTTTTCAGGCTGGGTTTAAAGATATTTTAAATGTAGAATGACTATTTTCAACACGTGATCAATTTAAACATCTAATATCTTTCTTCTGGCTTCTTCTCATTGATATACACTTTCCATTTTCCCTGTCTTCTTACAATGATAAATTAAATGACCTCATTCAGAAATGTGTGTGTGTGTGTGTGTGTGTGTGGTCATGAACACTGTTTACTATTAATAGGCTTATAGGCTAATAAGTGAATGAAAACTCAGGGCTGATTTCCCAGTTTGCAGATTTATTTCTCTTTGTCTCATAGATGGTGGTGTGGTTTGTACAAGTTGAGTGATTCTGTTCCTCCTTTTATTTTTTGCTTTCCCCAGATTCGAAGCCAGAGCAAAGCCTCTGGATCGGGACTGTGTGAGGGGGATGAAGTTGTGTCTATCAATGGCAACCCTTGCACAGACCTCACCTACCCTGAAGTCATCAAGCTCATGGAGAGCATAGTGGACTCCCTGCAGATGCTGGTGAAAAGGTACAGCCCTGGGCTGGAAGTAGTCTGTTCTCTTGAAGCTAGGCGGGAACAGCGAGCTCTCCTATTGCATCTAAATAATGTCATTTATGACAGACTTGGTAAGGCGCTTTGTAGAAGATCAGGAAACTTAAACAGAACTGCCACAGCACTTGAAACATGGCCACTTCTGTCCAACCGAGCTTGCTGATGGAGAGTTAAAGTACTTTAGTTCCAAGTATTTCCGGAGACTGTTCAGTAGATGGAGCACAATCTGATAATTCCTTCTAACATTAAGATTTTCTGACAGGTCAGGTTATTCAGTTATAGCTTCCAGATTCGCAGATGAATTAAAAATGTTGTGTTACATTATTGGCCTGTACTATTTTCACAAAGGATACCTAGGAGATGGGACAAACAAAACAAAACAAAAATGTTCATGATAAATGAGCATTTTTTAAAAGCTTAAAAATCTCAGATTTATGCTTTCCATGACCTCCAATGGAATCAGTACTTGAGAACAGATAAAAACATATTATTAAAAATCTTCACTCCAGGACAATATAATCAATATTTGAGCTATCAAAAGCAAATCATAGTGCTGGTAGGCTGAGATCTGAGGATGGTAGTTTGAAGTCAGCCTGAGCAGGAAAGACTGTGAGACTCTTATCTCCAATCTCCCGAAAACTGGAAGTGGAGCTGTTGCTCAAAGTGGTAGAGCACTAGCCTTGAACAAAAAAGCTCAAGGGCAGCCAGGTACCAGTAGCTCATGCCTGTAATCCAAGCTACTCAGGAGGCTGAGATCTGAGGATCATGGTTCAAAGCCAGCCCAGGCAGGAAAAGTCTGTGAGACTCTTCTCTCCAATAAACCACCAGAAAACCGGAAGTGGCACTGTTGCTCAAGTGGTAGAGCACTCACCTTGAGCTGAAGAGCTGAGGGACAGCGACCAGGCCAAGAGTTCAAGGACAAAACCTAGGTCTTGAGTTCAAACCGCACAATAGAAAAAAAAAAGTCAATCTCCAGGCCTGGCACTGGTGTCTCATATGTGTAATCATAGCTACTCATAAGGCTGAGATCTAAGGATAGAGGATTGAAGCTACCTTGGGTGGGAAAGACCATGAGACTCTTTTTATCTCCAATTAACCATCAAAAGCTGAAAATAGAGTGTGGCTCAAGTGGCAGAGCACCAGCCTTGAGTGAAAAGCTAAGGGACAGTACCCAGGCCCTGAGTTCAAGCTCTAGTACTGGCATGCACACATGCACACATGTGCATATGCACGCACACATATACACACATACACACACACAGAGCTAGTGGCTCATGCTGTTCAGGAGGCTGAGATCTGAGGCTTAAGATTCAAAGCCAGCCTTGGCAGACTAATCCATGAGACTCTTAACTCCAGTTAATCAGCAAAAAACCAGAAGTGGATCTGTGGCTCAAATGTTGTAGAACACCAGCCTTGAGTGGAAAAAAAACAAATGAGAGTGTAAGGCCCCGAATTCAAGCCCCTACACAGGCATTAACACACATGGAAAAGCAAATCATTTGTGCATTCAATCTCTCCAAATACTGCTATGATTTAAAAATACAAAGGAGAACTTTCAAAGGTAAAAGTAAGGACACAAGGTTGAGGGCAATCATAAAAAATGACACCGTCCATACTTTTACACTGTACAAATCCAGGATACTCCATCCATACTGATCTTGCAACTTAGGCCTAGCAGGGATCTCTCTCTCTCTCTCTCTCTCTCTCTCTCTCTCTCTCTCTCTCTCTCTCTCTCTCTCTCTCTCTCTCTCTCTCTCTCCCCCTAGACTCTGGGTTTTAAGTCTCTGCAGAAATATTGCATAGAGAATTAAACCTAAGCTAGTCACTCAGTAGGATCCCATTTCTACATAAACATGAACTTACAAAGACTCAAATCTTGTGACAAGAAGAAAAATTTAGCATCTTCTTAGAACCCCACATCTAAACATTTATTCACCAAATGCTTGGGCTCTTGCTTATTTATAAAGCTGCCATTTGCTCTTTGAAGGAACCCAGTGAGGAATGTTGGCAAGTAACAGTTCTACAGAATCACAGCCATCATTCCCTATAAATCTGTGAAGTATTCAAAGATCACCATGTTTGAGAAGTTTCAGTCATCTCCAAAACAGGGAAAACAATCTTTTCTATTTTATTCCCTCTGTTTTTTTTTAATGTCTTAATGAGGCCAATTTCTCCAGAACACAGTTGTTGTCCAGGACATCATCTTCTAGTTCTTGTTTTGATTATGATGGCTATCTCTGAGGAAATAAAAATAATGATTAAAAAAAATCCCTGGTGGTTTAAAAGTTGAGTTCCAGGTATCTATTTACTTTCTAGAACAAATAAGCTAGTTCTCTACTACATTGAATAACTAGAAACATGGTCCTTATCATCATTATCCTGGGTATTTTTGATTCTTTAAGAAATAAATCATTAATTAATGGGATTCAATATGAACTCTTCCATTAAAATCATCCCGAAGGCCACCACCAGCCTCATCCTCATCACCTATACCCTGGAGATCTGAATGTGGCTCCCTACAATTAATGTTTTCTCTCCCTTCCATCCCTGCTGGCTCTCACTAGAGGACAAGTGTTTGACTCTTTCTGGATTAGTGCCCAAAGATAGATGAGGAAGACTATTTTTAAACACCTCCCCTTTCATTCAAAGTCTCTTATCTTAAACTTTATTGAAATGATAAGACATAAAAATAGTGGTCATAAAACTATGTTGTAGAAATGGTGTGTTCTTGTAGAGACTACAGTGAAGTGAGTGGTTAAAGATTTAATATCATCTCTCTCTCATCTATGTGGGGCTTTTATGCTTCTTATTCATGTATATACATTTTAATTCAATTGTGAAGAGATCTTAATGCATGTGATTCTGGGGCTTAAACTCAGAGTCTGGGTACTGTCCCTGAGTACTTTTGCTCAAGACTATTGCTCTACTACTTGAAACATAGCTCCACTTCCAGCTTTTTTTGGTGGTTAATTGGAGATAAGTCTCATGGACTTTGCTGCCCAGGCTGGTTTTGAATCCAGATCCTCATATCTCAGCCTTTGAGTAGCTAGGATTACAGGTGTGAGCCACTGGTGCTCAACAAAAGATCTTAGTTTTTATTTCACGCATTTGGCTGCATTCTAGTATATACCATGGGAATGAATTTAAATCACTCCCTTGGCTTGATTATTGCTGTTTTACGTGATTCTAAGTGATTTGATCTATTTTCCTCTCAAGGTCTTTTTAGATTTAAACTCTCTGATCTTTTGCTTCCCTCAGATTCTGTTTGACAGAGTGTATTAATTGTTTCCTATGTAAAGATGGTCCAACTTGCTATCAAAAACTCTTTGATGCAATGTTTTAAAAATATCATATTACCAGGAAGCATTTCAGAGTATCTTTATAGAGAAAAGATGTGTTTTGTTTGACTATTAATTTTTGTTTTGTTTTGTCAAATGGAGCCAAAAGCAAACTTAGGGAGTAAACATTTTGAACCTTGGTCAGAAATTGTACTTCCACATGAATTGTAGGGTAAATTTCATCGAGTAGGAAGAAACAGAATTCCTTTCTTGGGTGAGTGATTCCTGCCTTGGTTTGGAGGGACAAGCAGCTATGACTGCTTTAAAAAAAATAAACCAAGAGCCAGTGGCTCACCTGTAATCCTAACTACTCAGGAGGCTGAGATCTAGGGATCAAGGTTCCAAACCAACCCAGGCAGGAAATCCAGGAGACTCTTATCTCCAATCAATCATCAAAAATGCTGAAAGCAGAGCTGTGGCTTAAGTGGTAAAGCACCAGGTGTAAGCAAAATCAACCCCAGGGACAGTACTCAGGACGTGAGTTCAAACCCCAGGACTGGTGCATGTGCGCATGCACATGCGTGTGCGTGCACGCACACACACACACATCCAAGGGTGAAAAATGAGAGTGTCTCCTATAGCTGTTTTAGTAACTGCTGCTTCTCTTCTAGAAGCATTTAGATCTTTAGAGAGAAGTTGTTTAACTCTTAAACTGACATTGCTTCTCACAAACCCAAACTAGCAAAAGCTGCTGTGTATGATTAAGTCTAAATGAAAAAGGATTGTGGTAATCTGGGCTCCAAAGGGGAGAGATAAGGGAATAGTTTGCCTTCAGAGATCTGAATAGGAGAATGCTGGAGAAGTCTCATTCCAGTAGAAGGGAAGAGATCTCAGTTATAAATACTCCATGACTTAATGGCTGAGTGCAGCGTGGAAAGCATTTCTCTTTACACAGAGTGCCAGGCTAGGGTCCACTTGTTACCACACACATGCCTAGTGGAGCTTTAAAAAAACAAACCTAGCTTCTATTTCATTTCTTTCAAGAAGGCACAGCCTGTAAAAGGATTATTGAATTATCTGTAATTTAATCTTGGTTTGAAGCTGTTGGGTTTGTTTGGGTGACTTGAAAAACGTCTAGACCAAAATTTATTCCATAAATGTTTTGTCACCTTGTAGCAAACACAATGAAGTGGCAATATCCAAATCACTTAAAAAATAAAAAAGAAAGGACATTTGACTGCACCCTGCGCTTATTAAAAAAAAAAAGTGAACTTAGGATAGAATTAGGCTTCAAATATTTTGTAAATATTTCTGTGTGCTTTAAAGAATAGTTTATCGGAAAGCTTGTGTGTGTGTGTGTGTGTGTGTGTGTGTGTGTGTGTGTGTGATGGCACTGGGGCTTGAACTCAGGGCCTGAGTACTGTCCCTTAGCTTTTTCTGCTCAAGGGTGGCACTTTACCTACTTGAGCCACAGCTCCACTCCTGGCTTTGTTTGGTGGTTAATTGGAGGCAAGAGTCTCACAGACTTTCCTGCCTAGGTTGGCTTTGAACCACGATCCTCAGATCCCAGCCTCCTGAATAGCTAGGATTAAAGGTGTGAGCCACCAGCACCTGGCTATTTGAAAGGGTTTAATCACAAGAACCCATTTTCAAGTTATGTTGTACTACAGTGGACACAGAGGGAACATATTGATTGTATCATGTATTAAATATCATAAATGGCAGGAAACTCTCTTTAGCTTCACTGTCTGGAATTGTTCTTCTGTCTGCAGACCATCTAGTGGAATAAGCGAAGCTTTGGTCTCCGAAACTCAGAATGAACCCCAGGAACAGCTCCCACATGGGGACTGTGTGGAAAGGACGACCCTACAGATTCGCCCAGCCATCCAGACGCAGCACGGGGAGGTCTTCACCACCACCTCGGTCCAGGGTGGGGCTCCCCTAGCTGAAGACCAGAGAAGTGCTTCCAATTGTATCAGAGACATAGAAAAAGAAACAGATCTGAGCCACCAAAGGGATCCCCAAATGCTTGACTCCCAGGAAGGCTATTTGGCTGAAGAAACCATCCTGAGGGAGAAGGCAGGAGCAGGCCCTGTGGTGGAGCTACAGCTGTCACTCTCTGAGGCAAGACACAAGGGCAGTCAGGGCCCTGGAGTGGCTGTCCAGGGAGCTGAAAATTTAAAATCTCCTGACCCAGACTCTAGCTTCTACCATGAGGAGGCCTTGCACATCAATTCAGTGACTGCTCATGAGAAAGCAGACCCTTCTCTGAGGTCCAGCAAGATCATCCAGATTTCCAGTGGCAGAGAATTGACAGTGATCCAGGGAGAGGAAGCTGAAGATGATCTGGGACTGGCCCGTGTGGAAGTGATCTTCGACTGCTCTGACAGACAGAAGGCAGAAGGGCGCAGGCTGCAGGCAGGAAAGGGGTGTGTGGTTTCCCCAGTGGAAGGAGGGCAGTCAGAAGCACCTCCTTCTCTGGTCTCCTTTGCCGTCTCATCAGAAGGCACAGAGCAGGGAGAAGACCCACGCTCCGACAGAGATCATAGCAGACCACACAAGCACAGAGCTCGGCACGCAAGTAAGTCCTGTCCTGGGTGGGTGCCTAGCTATCAGGGCCATTGGTCATTTAAGACATTTTACTGATGCTTTGTCTGCATGAATTGTGTTTTGCTTGTATCTTTTCTCCTTATGTCTTTATTAACTTTGTAAGCAATGAATTAATGCAAAAATAACCAAAATGAAATTATGGAGAATATACTAGTTTGTGAATGGAACAGTGGATTGAAATATCCTAGTAGATTTACTTTTTTTCATGAATTTTTTGTTCTCCCTGAAGGCTCAAGAAAACAATATGGTCAGTGGGCCTTTTTGATTGTTTTCAGAATGCTCAACCATTTCCTGTTAAAATAGCCTGACAGAGTTTTATCCCAAGTCATGTGGATTCTGACTTTAAATGGCAAAAACAGTTCATCCTGCTACTTGAAAGAGTATTTTAGAGGCAGACTCCACCACTGATATTAAAAGCAGACCTTCGTTTTGAACAAAACCCCCTTTGCAGCTTGATGATGCTTGCAGAAATGAGTTTGACAGACAGGGGCATGTGTGGTTCTGAGCAGTTACATGATCCTAACTGTTGTATAAGTCTGCACCAGACTGCAGAGTGTTTCAACTACCTTCTAGACATAGACAGCCATCTCCAGGCATTCAAATGTCTCCCCCCACTCACACAAAAAAATGCCCTGGAATTTAAGACTTTTTGTGGCAGTCTGTTGTAGGCTCCTGAAGTGAGCTGAGGAACAGGATGAGGCTTGCAGTTAGCTGTCATGATTTGGGTGTTTTCTTGTATGTGCATGTATTTTTTTTTCTTTTACAAATGGGGAGATTTTATTTCAGGATGTAAAGGCCCTTGAATGCATGAATGGTACACATTAGCAATGAACTTGGTTATTCAAAGTAGCCAATTAAGCCTTCTAGCCCATCACAATTGCTTTCAAAGCATATTTTTAGCATAACCATCTGTAGTTTTATTGGCAAGTACCATCAATCATTCCCTATCCTTTAAGCATCCGAGGGCCATCTTCACATTTATAGCATATTAAATAAGAGTATTAAGACAGCATTCACGTATTTTAAGTGTTGGCACTGAAATTAGCAACAACTGTACAACTGTGACTGTCAGTTTAATGATCAGTTGTATAACACTGGTCAAAAAGTGGTCACCTTCAGTAAAGTGAGCACATTTTTAGTATTTCCTCCGCACAGAATCTGATCACCAGGAAATATCAGTAGCTTTGTGTTAAAATTATCTTCCCTGATATTATTCTGAAAAATTTAAACTTTAATAAAAATGTTCTTTGTGGCCACAAAATGCTGGCTTTTCCTGAGTTTCCATTCAACTATCTTGAAGAGTTAACATTTGTGGATCATACTTATTAAAATGTGTTTATAATTTTACTAACATGGATATTTATAGTACTAAGATGTGACTATAATTGATTGATGCTATAAATTAATTGACCACTATTTTTTTTTATCATATTAGTAAAAGAAATGTGTAATTTTTATTACTGTATGATGATAAAGCTAATGTTTCAAACAACCTAATTACTGCATCAGTTTCTACACCAGTTGAAAGGACCTTTATATGAAAGGTCATATAAATTTTAAATTTTCTCAAGATTTATACTAATTCTTACTGCCATTGAAATAACATTGTATTCTCAAAATAGCAAAATATTTATAAATTCTAGACAAATTTGTAGCTAGTGTTCATTATACAGATTCACGATATCTAGCATTTTGGAGTATAACTAATTAGTAATTTAGTACCTTGGGTTAACTCAGTGTTCTGCTTTAACATTAGTTCAGTGGCTCTGGAAGAAATATTTTAGATTGTTGCCAAATTGAAATAAAAGAAGAAAAATCCTAAGTAGCTAAATTTATTACACTAAAATATTTAAACATTTTAATTTTTTCCCCTTGAGGCATATCCTCTCTTCGTGTGTGTGTGTGTGTGTGTGTGTGTGTGTGTGTGTATGTGTGTGTGTGTTGTGTACTGGTACTGGGAACTGAATTCAGGGTCTCACTTGGCTTTTTCACTCACAGCTGGCACTCTGCCACTTGAGCCATAGCTCCACATACTCCCCTCATTTTTAAGATGCTTAGAAGTCATGAAATACTGATTTTTTTTTTTTTGTCGGTTGTGGGGCCTGAACTCTGGGCCTGGGTGCTGTCCCTCAGCTCTTCAGCTCAAGGCTAGTGTTCTACTGCTTGAGCCAAAGCGCCACTTCTGGCTTTTTCTGCTTATGTAGTGCTGAGGAATCGAACCCAGGGCCTCATGCATGCAAGGCAAGCACTGTACCACTGAGCCACCTTCCCAGCCTGACATTATTTTTTTTAAATACAGAAGTTCAAAATACATCTTGATTTTTTTTCAGAAAATACAATGTTCTTAAATTATGTTCTTATCCACTCAACTTGTATCCTATTAACTGGCATTTTCTAGTTTAATTTTTATCACTGAAGTATAAAAGGTCACAGAAAAACAAATGTAATACATTCTAATCAGCACCTAGAATGGAAGGTATTCACATGAATAAGTGGAAAAAGTGTTATTATATATTGTTTAATGTAATAGAAATAGAGATTCGAAAAGAAATAGGGCAGGGGGTTTAAGTGCTTAGTGGTTTTGTGTTCAGCATGGGCAAAGACAGAGATTCAATATCCAGTACTAAAAGAAACAAGAAAGGAGAAAGCGGGAGAGGCAGAAAGGAAGGAAGGAAGGAAGGCGGGAGGGAGGGAGGAAGAAAAGGGAGGAAGGAAGGAAGGGAGGAAGGAAGGGAGGAAGGAAGGGAGGGAGGGAGGAAGGAAGGGAAGAAGGAAGGAAGTGAGGAAGGAAGGAAGGAAGGAAGGAAACAAGGGGAGGAGGGAGGAAAGGAAGGGAAATAAAATTGTATTCCTTCAAAATCCAGTGTTCAATTATAAGCAGTTTTTCACATATGCTTTTTCAAAGCCAAGGGGCATGAACTGTAGGACTGCCATGGAGTCTTCCTTGAATGTGTCCGCTCAATTCGATTTCTGTGCTTCCCCTAGGACTCCGGAGGAGTGAAAGCCTGTCCGAGAAGCAGGTGAAGGAAGCAAAGTCTAAATGCAAAAGCATCGCCCTCCTTCTGACGGATGCCCCCAACCCCAACTCCAAGGGGGTGTTGATGTTTAAGAAGCGCCGGCGGAGGGCCAGGAAATACACGCTGGTCAGCTACGGCACGGGAGAGCTGGGGAGGGAGGAAGAGGAGGAGGAGGAGGAGGGCGACAGGGAGGACGCCTGCGAGGTGGCATTCCTGGGCGCCAGCGAATCCGAGGTGGATGAGGAGCTGCTGTCCGAGGCTGAGGACGACGGGCCCCAGGTGGTGACCTTCGACTGGGATTCGGGCCTGGTGGACATCGAGAAGAAGCTGCACCGGGGAGACAAGATGGAGCTGTTACCCGACAGCACGGGCAAGGGGGCCCTCATGTTCGCCAAGCGCCGGGAGCGGATGGATCAGATCACCGCGCAGAAGGAGGAGGAGGAGGAGGGCGCGGGGCCCGGGCCGGGCCGGGAGGCGAACGCCGCCGCCGTGCAGGTGGACGGGCTGAGAACCGTGGCGTCCTACCAGAGGCAGGACGAGGCCTCGGTGCGGGTGCGGGGCGCGGTGAGCACCAGCTACGTGCAGCTGGGCCGCGGGGCCGGCCCGCTGCCCCAGCAGAACGGCTTGGTGGCGGCGGCGCCCGGCCTCCCGGAGCCCCCCAGGGCCGTCCCGATGAACAGGACGGCCAAGCCCTTCCCGGGCGCCGGGGCCCCGCCGGCCGCGCCCTTCGTGCCGGCCCGCAGCCCGACGAGCCCCCGCGCCGACTTCTTCCCCGCGCCGCCGCCCTACTCGGCCGTCACCCCGCCGCCGCCCGAGGCCTTCTCCGGGGCTGTCTCGAGCCCCGTGGCCGGCCCGCCGCCGCCGCAGCCCCCGCCGTGGCCCCAGCCGGGACCCTGGGCCCAACCCGCCTTTTACGACTCGTCGGAGCGAATCGCCTCCCGGGATGAGAGGATCGCCGTGCCCGCCAAAAGGACGGGCATCCTGCAGGAGGCCAAGAGGAGGAGCACCACGAAGCCCATGTTCACCTTCAAGGAGCCCAAAGTCAGTCCCAACCCGGAACTCTTGTCACTGCTGCAGAATTCCGAGGGCAAACGGGGCGGCGGGGCCGGGGGCGACTCCGGGCCCGAGGAGGACTACCTCAGCCTGGGCGCCGAGGCCTGCAACTTCATGCAGGGCGCCTCCGCCAAGCAGAAGACGCCCCCGCCCGTGGCCCCCAAGCCCGCCGTCAAGTCCCCCCCAGCCTCCCAGCCGGCCACCCCCATGTCTCCAGTCTGGTCTCCAGGACCCGTGGCTCCGACCCAACCTCCTCCTGCCTTTCCCACGTCCAACCCATCGCCAGGCCCAGTGGCCTCCGCCATCAAAATCGCCCAACCGTACGCTCCCGTGCGGCCCGCCAGCGCCCTGAACCTGTCCGGTCCCTTCAAAGGCCCGCCAGCCGCAGTAGCCAATCAGAATTACACACCCAAGCTCGCGGCGACGCCCCCCGCGGGGCCACCCAATGAGCTGCCCGGAATGAGCGGGAAAGGCGCCCAGCTCTTCGCCAAGAGGCAGTCGCGCATGGAGAAGTACGTGGTGGATTCCGACACGGTGCAGGCCCACGCGGCGCGTGCGCAGTCTCCCACGCCGTCCCTCCCAGCCAGCTGGAAATACTCCTCCAATGTGCGGGCGCCCCCGCCGGTGGCCTACAACCCGATCCACTCTCCTTCCTACCCGCTGGCTGCCATCAAGTCCCAGTCCTCGGCTGCACAGGCCTCCAAGATGAGCAAGAAGAAGGGCAAGAAACCCCTCAATACTCTTGATGTCATGAAACACCAGCCGTACCAGCTCAATGCGTCCTTGTTTACTTTCCAACCTCCAGATGCCAAAGAGAGCCTTCCCCAGAGGTCACCGGTGAAGGTCAGTGCCGCCCCAGCCATGAGACAAGCGCTTCCTCCCCGGCCCGTGAGCGTGGGCTCCCCCACGAACGCGCAGGCCTCGTCGGTGTACTCGGTCCCGGCCTACACCGCCTCGCCCGCCGGCTTCGCGGAGGCCGCCTCGCCCGCCAGCGCCTCCCCCGGGCCTCCGGGCCTGCCCACCTCTCCCAAGCAAGAAGCCGCCTCTTCCTCTTATTTCGTGGCGCCGAGGCCCAAGTTTTCAGCCAAGAAAAGTGGTGTCACAGTTCAGGTGTGGAAACCGTCGGTGGTGGAGGAGTAATCACCACACCGGGTGTCTCGCTTTGCTTTGAAAGGAATCGTTTGCAGTGTCCCCGCCCTCCACTCCTGACCCCCAGTGCCTAGCAATCCCTCAGCTTCATTTCAGACAGGCCACCACCCAATCTGGGTCCAAGAAGTCTATTTTTTTAGAGTCAAAGAAAAAATGCAACTCAGATTGATTTGAACACATTTCTCTAGTTTGCACATACCTGGGGGCATCTCTCCACATAGATCCGCACCATTATATTAAGGAAGCCAGAAGTTTAGGATTTTTGCTTTCGCCTCAGGAAAGACAGTGATGACTGCTAGCAACTGTTAGGACACAGCCTTTATGTAGTAATGTAACAGCTGCACTCCCAGGGTGAAAAGGTTCAAAGGTACTGCAAATATAACATGTAGTGACGGACTGACTGAGATTCCTTTTTTTTAGATTTCCTTTAAGTCATGCTTTATCTTTATTTACTAGTATTCACAGAATTAGAAACGTATTGAGGATGGGGGTCTTTCAACCTCAGGCGCCTATTTGATACTATAGAGAAGGTATTCTAAGGACTGTGGGAATGTATAGAGTTTAGTATGAAGAGGATCTTGATAATTACTGAGCACTTACTATGTATTTAACTTCTTGTCCGATGCTCTTACATATATTGATTCATTTCAGAAGCCACTTAAGGTAAATAGATTAGGGCAAGAGAGGTAATCATCCTTAGAGATGGGTTTTTCATTCTCCCTTGCCAGTTACTTCAGGAAATAGGTGCGCACATCTCCAATTGCCAATGAAAGCAAAGGTTTGATTTCTGCAGCTGAGGCAAGTGGTAGGGTACAGCATAAGAAAGTAACATCAAAAGGGGGAGCGGTGCTCAGAGAGGCAAACTCAGTTATCCTTTTACTTTGGGAAATTGCATGGCTGGGATGAAAGGGGTCCTGACAACAGGACATAAAAGTGAAGTGCAAGGAACTGAGTCAAAATGCACAAATGCCATAGGGTGAAGATACCGAACCAGTTACCACCATGTTGGAGTGAGCTCGCAGACTTTCTTCCCGTGTGTTTGCTTTGGCTCCTGATGAGTGCTTCTCCTGCTGTTCCTTGCAATTCTATTCTTGCACCTTTACTTCTAGTGTTTCTATTCGATGGACCAGAATAATTCAGGCAAGGTTACCTTGTGAATTTGGATGGGTCACACGCCATGTCGTCACTCAGCTGGCTAGGAAGTGAATAATGTTACTGAAAGTAAACCTGAAGACCTTTCTCATATCTATTTTAAGTCTGAGTGAGTGTGACCGTCCATGGAAAGTATTCAACATGAATTAATTGCGACAACCTCAAAGCGCTGATGATGGCTCCAAGTAAAGCTACCTACTCTAGGCAGTAGGTATGTATAGAGACCTCTAGAAAAACACTTGCCTAGTTAGGTGCCACTTTAATCCTCTGCGAATACCTGTATTCCTGCTCTTTTCCTGCTGTCACTGTCAATCTGCTATGTTTTTCACTATCCTATTAAAATATTACTTTCTTCTTTATCTGTTCATTGTAAAAATTTTTGTTAAAAGAACTCTTCTTAGAAGAACAACTCTATCCTAAGCTATTTCTCTCATTCCTCAGTTTCCTTTTTTTAGGGGGGCGGGGAAGGAGAATCCAATTCTTCATATATTGCAAAACTACCAGACTTACACATTTCTAAAAGATAACACATAAAAGGAGAATTCAGTCAACAAAAGGCCAATGGGACTGAGTGGTATTTTGCTTTTTTCTGTCTGAACACCCATTGAGTTTGGTGTTAATACAATCATACTCAGTAGTTTAGTCCTGTAGTTGCCTTTTGGGGATATAAATTCAGAAAATTAATGCAAGACGAGAAGTTCAGCATATCATTAAGTCACCCTGTTTCCTGCAAAGGAAGACTGATAGGTACTGTGCTTGCATTGTTTACTAATAGAATAATCAAAAAATTTAACTTAGATGGAAGCAGGAAAGACCATTTTATAATTTTGCACCGTGTGTGTGTGTGTGTGTGTGTGTGTGTGTGTGTGTGTGTGTATGCTGGTCCTGGGTCTTGTCTTGAACTGAGGGCCTGGGGACTGTCCTTGAGCTTTTGTGCTCAAGGCTAATCCCCTACCACTTTGAACCACAGCTCTACTTCCAGCTTTTTAGAGGTTGATTGGTGATAAGAGTCTCACAGACTTTCCTGCTCAAGCTGGTTTCAAACTGTGATCCTCAGATCTCAGCCTCCTAAGTAGCTAGGATTACAAGCATGAGCCACCAGTACCTGGGTAATTTTGCATTCCTAATATAGCATTTAAGCTTGGCATCAGTTAGAGGACAGACATAGAACACACATATAGTAGCCAATTTGAGATCATGGGTTCCAAAGCATCCTGGGATGATAATGAGCCAGGGGCATTTCCAGTTGCTCAGGGTTTGTGGTTTGTAGGAATGAGAATAGTTTTAAATGCATTTCCTGATGGACAGGTGGCAGTCTTAGCCAAGCCACTATTTGGAGTTGATGACCAAAGACACAACTAACATGACTGTGTTCTCGTCATCCAGGGCCTGTTTGGAAATCCCAGGAGTGTTTAAGAAATGTGGTTGGCATGAAGGTACAGCAGCTACAGTTTGACCAGAAGTTAGTAGCAGAAGGACCATAGAGTCCCACTCGATAGAGGAAAGGGGAAAAATTCTCCACGCAACATCCACAACAGATGTCTCTCCCTGCCCCCCTTCTCTTTGTCTGAGGGATACAGGAAGTGAGATGGAGGTGTTCACCAACTCCCTGGAGTAAGAAGTTTCTGTTCTTCTTTTCACCCCTCCAAGGAGCTATAAATCACTTTTTAGATGGCAATAGGATAGGTGTGGCAGGCAGGAGGATTTGAACCAGAGACAGAAATGTCTTCTCACTGGACAGAGTACCAGCTCTATCTGACTGGAATGTAGTGATGAGGCTATGGGTTTGGTTGTTGGGTTGCTTGTGGAGCCTGGGAGGCAGTTTATGTTGAGTTTTTTAGCACCTTGCCCCTCCCCTTGTTGTTTATTAGTCTGACTCGTAGCTAAGGCCCTTGTGGCGTCAGCCGTAACGTGCTGATGCCTACGTCACCTCAGGTGCCCCATGCACAGCACTACGAGGAGCCCAATGCGCTTGTTAGACACTGGGATGGGCCCAGCATGGTAATCACACTCACTGAATTACCGCAGGACCTTAGGCAAAATTGTCTTTTTGGTTTTTTACACATTAATAATGTCTCAATCCTCTCTTCCTGGCAGAGTATTGTGCTGTCAGGAGGTGGGACAACACAGAAGATTCTAGAAGATAAAGGTGATCTGTGAATATCAGAACAGTGTTCTGCCATTGAATATCAGAACAGTGTTCTGCTCTAGGGCACATCAAATCAGGGTCAGTCACCGTGGGAATCTGAGCTATGCCACTTTTAATCTTAGGACATTGGCTATTTTATTTCTAATATTTCAATAATAAATATCACTGACTTTGAGAGACAGTCTCTGAATTTAGATTAGCTCCATGGGTGGTATAAAGCACACATTTTTAGGACTGTGTTCTGCAACGCACATTTGAGTGGTTATCTTAGAACCCATTAGCCATTCTTTTATGTGTGTGTGTGTGTGTGTGTGTGTGTGTGTGTGTGTGTGTGTACATATAGGTATATATATATATACATACATGTATGTGTGTATATATGTATATACACATACACACAGACACACACACACACACACACACACATACACACATGTATATATGTATATATAAAACACTGGTTCTGGAGCTTGAACTCAGGGCCTGGGGTTTGTCCCTGAGCTTTTGTGCTCAAGGCTAGTGCTCTACCACTTAAGCCCACAAATCCACTTCTGTCTTCGGGGGTGGGGTCAGTTAATTGGAGATCAGAGTCTCACAGACTTTTCCTACCCATGCTGACTTTGAACCATGATCCTGAGATCTCAGCAATTATGAGTGTGAGCCACCAACGCCCTGTTAACTTTTATACTTCAAAATATATCTAGTACGCTTGCTCATGATAACAAGTGTCAACTGTCTCATCTCACATGAGCTCTCTTCACATAATCTTCGCAAGAAGCAATCCTCACAAACCCTAGTGAAACCAATCCAAGTTCCAGATCATTTCCTAACCTAAGCACAGGGTCATTCAACTCCTCTAGACAGGGCTGACTGCTTTCACTGTGGGACAGCTGGGAATTACCACACAGCTTACATTCTAGCAACAAGAGTCAGCTCTGAAATGTCAGAAATAAATGATCTCATTTAAAGGGGGATTTACATCCCCAGGAGCTGTGTTTCCTGCTGGCAGCCACCAGGTTAAGCAAGCTGAGAGTTAGTCTGCTGCTGTCTGTCAGCCATGCTAGTCACTGACCAGGTGGCTGTCTCCATAAACCTCTTCAGAGTAAAAGAAGCCATGTGGCTTTTGGTGCCTGAGTTGAATTTTTTAAAATAAAATCTCTTTACATTATTCCAAATAGTTACATATTAAAGAAACTTCAAACTTCTGCTTTCATGAGTCCTCAAGATCTGTGGTGCCATTCAATGAGTCACCACCAACCAGGCAGGAAAGGGGTATGTGTGTATGTGTGTGTGTGTGTAAGTGTGTGCACACACGATCATGCAAATCAATACTAGAGGCCTTGCACTCTTGCTTGTTTTTTTATTCAAGACTAATGTTCTGTCACTTTAGCCACACCTCTACTTCTGTTTTTTTTTTTTTTTTATTTCTCATTAATTAGAGACACAATTCTTGGAGATTTTTCTGCCTGAGCTGGCTTTGAACCATGATCCTCAAGTCTCAGCCTCTTGAGTTAGCAAGGATTACAGGATTCATGCCCAGCAGGAAAAATGGTTTGAAGTCATAGGCATCAAAAGTGATAAGCTTTCTGAAAGGCTTGAAATGCTTCTGGTAGGAAGTGTGGAGGGCAAGGTCATTATCTTCTAAAAGCAAAATGGTTAT